ACGACATGAAGACACTGAGAGAGCTGGTGAGAGCTAAAGAGGAAATGTGGAGCCAAGCAATGGAACGTGAGCGAAATTACAGAGAGCACTGGGTACGTCTGTCGCGTGAATTAATCACTGTACGCCAACAATTGGATTCCCGTGAGACTGATGTCAAGAATCTCGAGAGGAAATTGACGGTACGTGCATTAATATTATTTGAATGCCAAGCTCGTTAAATCATATTGAAAAAAAAAACAATACGATCTGTTGAGCACTCAAGTATGAAATAAATTCTTCAAACAACTTGTTTTTATAAAAAAAAGAAAATAAAATAGAGAACAGCTGCTCGTTTCGTACATTTTTTCAATTAAACGTTAACGAGTAATTTTTTAATCTCAATTTGAACGTCATATTTCAATTGGCAAGATTGCTTGAAGACGTCCTGATCTATCTATCTAAATAAATGCGAAAATTGTAATTCCTTTGTTAAAATACGTGCACGCCCGCAGGATCAAACAACAGTATTGAGAGCAGCGCAGAAAGAGCTGAGTTTAACAAAAAAGCAATTGCAGAAGAATCAGAGGTATATTTCAATTTTATTCCCGTCGAACTTTCCTCGTCGATTTTCACTGAATCGGTGATACTTTTGTTTTTTTTCTTAATTTATAATTCACTTTATCCAATTTCTGGCGACAGAAATAGAATAACGATTTTCCTTAAGTCAAATACCTTCGAGCTCAATTTTATTAAGCCCGTATACTTTTAACAATAAGATTTCTCATATTTTAATGAACTTTTGATTTCGTTGACTTACAAGGTAAAAAAAACGTGAATTCATACTTCACTTGTCCGGAATAATGATATTCTAGTTATTTTCATGCTTTACACTTGTAATTTATTTCGATTCGAAGCCCATCCCAGCCGACTAACGACGTTTAGCAAAATTTCCGTTTGACTTGGCATACCGCCGCGTCATATCAGACGCATGGCATGAATTCTGTCGTATACGAAAATCACAAAGGTGTCTAACGAATTTCAGAAGTTCCGCTGGCAGCGGTCGGCGCCCGACAACGGCAGATCATCCGGATCCGCGTGAAACGCAGCACTCGAAGCTCGCAGAACCGAAACACGAGAGCCCAAGACAAAGTCTCGCCTCGAGGTTCAGGTACGGTAAGACGTCGCCAACTAAAGATGTCAAGACAAACTTGTGACTGTAACTTGTCGCGCGATCATTACGAGGCTCGAACTGCCCTGCGCACCGCCAAAAACAACGTAATGGCATTGTCTGAGAAACGTTAACTGCTGACTTGCATAATGCCCATTCGAACGGTGAAGACGATTGCAAAAGCTTATCAGTAAAAGTGTACATGAATTTTCGCGGATTATCTAGAGTCAATATTTACCGTGTGAAATTGCGAATAAAATTGAGAAGACAATATCGCTGCAGTAATTTCTGTTAAAAAAATTTAATTACATATCTAAGCATCAACGTTCAAATAGCAACAGCGATTTGAATCTTTAATGAATGCTAATTTGTACGTGGTCGAAACAATGGGAAGAGAAAAATATTATTCTTTTCCCCTCGGTACCAGATGCCGCTTACTAGGATCCATTTAAATTCTTTGAATATGCATGCCGGGCATCCCGAATGCATTTTCAGATAAAACCGCCGCTACGTTTATACAAATAATAATACCGATTCGACTATTCACACATGGCTTTCGCTCTTGTATCTCCAGCTCTACCAATGCACTTTACAAACGAAAGCTGATTGCCGGCTTAAAAATCAATTCTTCCCCTAATTATTCGAGTTGAGTGAAAATCGAACTATGTTCCTATCAGCCTACCGATTTGCTGGACACATTCAAGAGAAAATTTTTTTTTTTCAAAAGAAATACGTTTTCTCTTACGATAGACTTTTAACTATTTCGTTTGAAATCTATCGATTGTCCGACTTGGAATCTCATTGAAAATACTGTAACGGAAAATGAAGCGAGAGACTTTCACAAAACTATATAATATGGGTGAAAATGGGAATCAAGAATATAAACATAATGACATATCTATCACTTTCCAAATTATACGACAATAATATCAAGTTCCGAATTTGCTATATGTACTATATTTACTTAAATAGGCAACGATTAATCCGAATTTGATACTTGAAAATCCCATGATTCTATATGACCTGTTTGAAGGTTAATATAATTTAGATACATTTAATAATAATCGATTGTCAATAATTCGGTAGAAACCTTAATTTAAAAAGTTTGTGCGGAACCAGGGTCACGTGAATATGCAGATCGCACCCACGCGGAACAGATATTAATTCGCTATATAAATTACATAATAAAAAGGGGGAATGTTAATTGACAAACAAGGCGCTATCGGTCATGCAGATAAGCTTTGTTACCAAGCGAAGAATGATTTACTTTTTTCTTGGGTTTGGTCGACTTGCGTACGTGCCTCGATCGTTGTACCATTATTTTTGCGCCCTACAATCAGTGCAGCATTCAAAGATGTAAGTATCAAGAGACCGACAAATCACTTGACGGCCGATATCAACTGGTAAATAGCGTCAAATTATGTTTTCTGTACAACAATGTTTCCAAAAAGTTCAATTCAGTTTTAATGCTGAACTTTTTTGTTGATTCCGACTAGATTTACACACTTGAACTTTACACGTTTTTTAGACCGCTTCTTAGAATGAAAAGTTGATTTATTTCTTGCCCTTGATTTTTATGAATTTATTACTTTAAACACAGCCATTTCCTCGCTGTGAAACTCATACTTGTCTTCAACATTCAACTAAACAGATAACGTTAACAATTTTTCGAAAACAATGTTTTTCTTATCATGCTATATAATAATTAAAAATGGATATTTAAATATAAATATCTACGATAAGGAATTATACAATCAAATAACTTCTTGTTTATTTTCTTTTAAATTAATAATTAGTAAATAATTAACAAAAAAGATAACAGTAATAAAATATTCGAAAGTGATAAATGAAATCAAATGGGAATTACTCACAACTACAAAGAATATAACTATAAATTTAAATAAAAATAAGAGGATTAATCGTATTAAATTGAAAAATTTGCTCAATTTAAGGAGTTTTCAAAATGAAATTGTCGATCATTCATTCGCAACAAAATAAAATGTTATTAGGAAATGCATATGAAAATTAAAATATAAATATGAGGGGCTCGGTGGTGCCATCTATCCAGAGACCGTGGAGCTTGAATCTAGAAAAACAATTACGAATCTTCGTCGGTAAAAGTCGGTATAAATGAAAAATGGACAAATGCCGCATAAAGTAGTTACGTACGCAACTCGCCTAAAAATAAAACACGACTATCCAGGTACTGATCCACACTTGATTAATAATTATCATGATAACCATAAAAATATGCAAAATTGTTATGGACGTTAAGTGGTTAGTTGCAACATTGTTTCGCAGTAGGTCAAACAACACTGTATTTTCTATCTGAAATTTTCCACAGTTTTCAAAAAATATGATTGCATATCGGCAGAAACGGAGTCATAAGTATTGCAATTAAGACTTTTTATCATTCCATTTGTCTCTCATGCGCATGTGCATGATTTTATAAGTGCGATTACATCGCTATAGTTGTCCCGGCATGAACTTTCGATCGTGTACCGAGCTTTTCGATCTCGTTTATCATTGGTCAGATTATAATTCTCCTCGGAGGCGTGTTTGCATTATCGTATGACATTTTATTGAAGACTCTCTGATGACTTACATGGACTATCTGATATTGCAACGAGACAATTTCTGATTTTTCAGATTTTCAATTTTATCTTTGTCAAGTTTTGTTTGCTATACGTGTGACTGATTTTAAATCCCTCAAACGTCAACAAATAAACACAGTATTCCGAAAAATTTTAAAAAGCCACAAGTTTTCTTGTTATTTATATATTGTTTATTATATTTTTATATTATGAATATTATGGAAAAATATTACGGAATAATTAGTTATCTGACAATTTTTCGCTATACCCATCAAAATAGATTATAATAAACCATTTATCAATTTCAAATATGAATGCCGGTTTCGCAGACACCTTATAAAGCTAATCTATCACCTGTTATAAATGATCCGTCACCAAAAGATGTGATGAGACGAGAATTTTTTAATTTATTTTCAGTCAATAGAACATCTTAAAACTTGAATACGTTTATCGTCTGAAATCAATCAAGAATGATTTTCTAAATTGTCTTTTCCAATATTAATGAATTATTATTAATGCATAGATCAATCTCAGTGCCATCCAATTTGCTTCATACTCTATGTATATACATAAAAAGCCACATTTATTTCGTTGATGATTGAACTAATGCAATACCCTTTTTTCAAAGTAGCAAGATTATTTGTCAAAACAATTCGTAAAATGCAGTTTGGAAATTCTCCAAATTTTTTTAATCCAAAACCTATATCAAGCAAAACCTATCGCATCTGAACACTTAAACGCATGAATACCTACAAAAAGGGATTATGCAAAAGATCCGGGCAAACCAGTAATTAGATGAACATTTGCCTTCTTAATCTCTCAAAATATACGAGTCGATAAAAAATGTTCGAGCAAACCGTAATATTTATTAATATCTGCCAGCTTCCAGACGTTTGAGATTATCCCGAAAATTCGAAGATATGCCACAGAAGACGAAAACAAAAAACGTGCCAATCGACAGGACAATTCTAATATTAGCAGCAGTTGTAAATCGAACACTTATCAAAAATGCACTTCCCTCGTGCAAAGGAATAAAAAAAGCGCCGAGCGATTATTCCACTCTCTCTCTCCCTCTCTCTCTCTCTCTCTCCTCTCTCTCCTCTCTCTCTCTCTCTCGCTCGCTCTTTCTGCTCAACTGCAAAATCATTCGTTTTCTCCCACTTCGCGGCAATTTCGCAAGCGCTATCGCTATCGCGCGCCTATGTATAGAACCGGCGAAAAGTATAGCCGGTGCAGCATTTGCGCGACAGCTTCTCACTTGGGTGCATACTCACAACTCGCAATCGGATTCCATCGAAGCCGCAAGACAGCTTGGAATTCAGCAATACAGAAGCAGAGAAGGAGAATGCGTTGAGCCCGAGCTTGCGAGTTTGAATTTTGGCGCGCTTGGAAAATTGCGCAGAGAGAAAGAGAGAGACAGAGACAAAGCGCGCGAGAGAGAAAGAGAGAGAGAGAGTGAGAGCGAACGAATAGCGATTCGCACCAAAGGATCGATGCGGCTGATGTGCGAGGAGGACATAGCGGTTGCAGCGCCACCACCACCGCAGCAGCACGAACTGGTCGTCGAGTTAGTCGGTGTCGTCGAGGACGGCAGGACCAAGTCGTTTCAACTTCCCGGTGATCACGATGACACTTTGAGCCGCGACGAGATGCCCGACATGGAGCTTTGTACCGATAAGGTCTTGTCTAAAGGCAGAATTCTTCAAGAGCTCACCAAGGCTGTCAAATTGGTAAGTAGCAACTTCGATTGCCCCTTTGTTTTCTGATCTATCGCTTTCTGTGCCTGCTAACTCTGAGTGTGTGTATGTCTGTGCATGTGCGCGTGCTTTCGTGCGATTGTTTGACAAGCCAGTGATTACCATCCTCAAGGCTGCAACTTAAGTTTCCTGTGCAGTGTCGTCGACAAATTGTTCAGCGAAATCCTTCGGAAGCTCTACGCTGCAAATATATGGTCATATATTTCGCATTGATTTTCACGATTTGTGTGCGTATATATTTGCGTATATTGGACGTGGCTTGTTGGCCTCCTCGGCTATGTCGTAAAGCTGTAACTGCGATGTACTCCGAATTTTCTCGTTGCTAATTACGACGTATTACTCGCTTTTAGCTTCGAATTGCACGCTTTTTCATTCACCATTGATAATTTTGTCCGAGGACTTCCATGCGAGCTTGCGACAACAGCTTCAGCATTGCAAGTCATTGATTTCCTTGTCGTTTGGATTCTTTGCTTCGGATTCATACGGTCGACGAACGAGCAAAAAAATATCCATACATTCGAGAAAATTGAAAGGACTGGACTTTCCAATACTTCGCCGAGACATTTCATTTCAATGCATGTCAGGCGTGTATTGGGCGCTAACGTCAATGCAATTTAATCGTGCCTTACCATCTTTTGCTCTCGTTCAAAGTACACCTCGACAAACGTAAAACTGATTGCAGTATTTGATTCTCTTTGAGATGTCGAAAAAATAGCTGGAATTTTCTTGTTAGTGGTTACAGTATTAATTTTGTAAGAAAAAGTGCCATAAATATAATTGCCTCGTAAACTCAACTAGAATAACAACAACGTGAAAAGAACCGTACATTTCCATTGCAACAATTTCTTTTCAACTCCAACATTGACACAAAAACACGATTTCTATTTTTTATCAACTGTTGATTGGGAATCGACAAATTTCAATGACAGACTTTTGCTTTCCTCGCACATGCTCGCTGCTTTATCTCCAACGCTTTTCGCTCAATAAAAGTAAAGGTTGATATGTATATATTATGCGCGACTCGGTGTAGAAGCGGCATAAAAGACGGTCTAAAATTGTACGTTAACAGCTGCAACGCGAGCGTCCATATTTCAGGGACCACCTGTCCGTATATCTATCGCTGTCGAATAAAATAAGTCACACGACCGATATGTATAGTAATACATTTTGTTCTTATTTGCTCGCTGCTAACGACTCAGACTCTGTTCTGCGGTTTTTTAATAAGACGTCAAGGCGGGCAGACTGCAGCATGTAACAAAAGTCAGTGAAAGGTTTCTCGCGACACTAAACTTGTTTCTTTTTTTTTTGTGGTGAAATACTAGAGGCTTATGCTGCGTTCTGATCCTACCTCTTACCGAGAGCAGGGATACTTTGATCGATGCAAAAATCGCATTATAAAATACCTCGAGTAAGTTATGCTGTTCAAATGTAATTAACTATAGGTATGTGTCATCAAACCCAATGCGAGAGAGAGAGAGAGAGAGAGTTCATGCAACAGTTTAGTGCTATAACCTCAAATGTACTTTTTCTTTTGGAAACGGATTTCCAACGGTTATTTATAGAAAGTTATCGAAAAAATATCGAATAACTGGCTATTCTGCTGTTTTTTTTACTTTTAATAGGAAGTTGCAATCTGACGTTATAAAATCCATCTCGACTGGTATTTTACTTGATTGTTCAGATAATACAATTTATAGAACTTTACGTTTTTTCTCTTTTGCTGACAGCTTATTTTTCTAAAATAAAAGTTATTATTGGACATCAACTATATAGCTTACAGGTTATTACACCGTTTAGCAATCATAAAGTCCTTGGCTTAAAACTTTGATGTCATTGTGTTATAGAAATAGATGAACTACAATCAGCTGATTTAATGTTGTTGGTTATCTTTCTTTAGTTGTGTACCTATAATTAGTAGCACAATAGATGTTGCTTTGACAGAGAATCTTCTGTTTACGATACGAAAACGAGTATTCGTTTTTGCGGAAAATAACATTTTATTTTCAGTCTATCCTTTCATGAACTTAGAATAATTTTAATGTTAGATACAATATATTTTATTTTTTAGTTGGCATTCAAAGTGAATAATAATTAGATGACATTTGATCTTACAGGTTTACATCCAGAGTTTGCATGGTACAGTTGTACTCGATGGTGATTCATGGCTTGTGTATTGGCTTGACAGAGCACTACGTCACGGATTACGTATTGAACGTCATGGGTATTGGGGTACTGCTAGAGAACTCAGTCACCAAGATACTGTAGTTGTCATTCATGCTTTACAGAATGTGCTAACATCGATTGGAAAAGGTTACTACTTTATTTATACTACTACCTTTAATTATAAATATTTAATATTTCACAAATCATGTCAATATTTTATAACAGGTCGAGCTTGGCTATATCATACTCTCAGCGAGGGTAGCTTTGAAAGTTACTTAGCATGCATGCTAAGGGATACAAAAACCTTGAAAAAACAGTACTTTCCTCATGCTCTTGTACGAGACGTCGATAATACTAATCAACTAATCAATCTTTTGGCTGGACTTGAAAACGTCTCCTTCACGCTACAATTGGTAAGCTTAACAATCATTGAATAAGAAAGTCAATAATTATTGGTGAAAATTAATTGAACAGCAAATTTTCCTATCTCAAGCAAAGAATAATAGGCAATTTATTGCTTGCTATCTCCATGATAGCAATACATAGTTTTTTAAATATCGGCAATTTTATCAATAATGATAAACGTCTATTTCTACATTAAATTAGGGTGTTGAATTTATCGTGTCTAAAGTAGATAATACATCTTGTTGTTAAATTTATAACCCTTGCATTGTGAAAATTATCTTGAGAGTAAATTAAATAGTTTGGCTATTCACCTCTCAGTGTTATCGACAAACTATAATCTGTGATAGTTCAGCAAAAAATAAAGATAATTTTAGATTCTTTCTTAATTGAAATACAATAAGCTTGATGCTATTTTAAATTTAGTCAATGGGAATAAATAAATTAATTTCAATAAAATTTGTCAATTAATTGCTTGCAAAGGAATAACAATTACCATTGTATTTGTAATTTTTTTTCTGGTAAATTCAGATTTGATAATGTTGACACGAATATTCGTATTAGCATGCTCGAGAATGATAATCGCGTGTTCGATAGATATTTGACATTTTCTTATCGACACTGCAATCATTCTACAGAGTGATATCCGCGGCCAAACCTCTCAATAAATTCTCTCTAAAAATCGTACAATAAATGGCGTTCGCGAGCGAACGTTCACACAAGTAGCTAAAAAAGTGCATTCGAATGTTGAATGAGAAGGAGCGAGAATGGTGAATGAAAAGTGGACTGTTGGCATTATCAACGTCATTGCGGCGATTGCAAGTTTTTATCTCTCTCACCGCGAAGGATATTAATAATGAACCTGCTGATAAGACTCAGAAATATATATTCCCTCATCACTGGCGTGAATATATATTCAGGGCCGAGAGCACTGAACAGTATCACCCCCCTTGGTTGCAATTATCGTCGGTTAATAAATAGCTTCCGTCTCTTTCTCTTTCTTTCTGTCTCTCTTGGCTGCGCGCGCGCGCGCGTGTGTTTTCGCCAGCAGAGAGGCCATGCCGGGTTATCAGTGCGCTCATATATAGTGTGCACTCGATATTGCAACTTAGTTGCGTGGCTTTTTTTTTCTTCCCTCGCCTCGAGCCTCGACGATGATTTAATATCGGCGTGCCTCTCGCGTGCAGGCGCGTGGAAAATCTCGCGCGAAAACAGCTTCGGATCGAATCAAAAGAGAAAGAAAGGCACAAGTCGGCTCGGATAAGACAGCGGAGAGAGATGCTTTTTTTTTCTTTTTCGACGATGCTGATTTCTACATTCGCTCCTACGACCCCGAGAAAAAAATCCATCAGCCGGATGTTGTTTATTCAATTGACTTTACTATTATCGCTCAGTTCTCGTACGTCTAATTTTGGCTGCAATACTCCTTGACGTATACGGGCATATGGCTTATCGAAGAAAGTACATGTTATTCAATGTGAAGTAACAACTGATAGTTGTAATAGCCAAGTTTGTTTTTCGATGCCGAGGAGATTTTTTTTTTACACAATGATTCCGACTGTACATCGATGTTTAAATCTTCTACTTGTGATTCATTTCGACGTTCATTGCCATTTTCTTTTCATTCTCACTAAAGTGCTGACTTATTGAAAGATGCTCTTAATTTTGCTTATCGCCGACAAATCTCTGATGTCTCGGTAGTTTCCATCGACAGAATTACTGTCACTAGATGCGTCACTGATCTACATGCCTCCCGAAGAGAATTTATCGGTTGCCGATAACTGTCAATTGAATTTTCGTTTAGCATCGTCAAGTAATATTTTCCAAAGCATCCTTTTCATCCGTTGCATTACATTAAAAATATATCTTTTGATAACTGTTGTGCGAACACTTAGCAGAGCTTACAGTATTCCTAATTTTTGTTGAGAAAATGTATCGCAACACTCGGTCAGATGAATAATCGATAAAGTGTTGCCGTAAGGTCGAAAAGAAACTTAAAGTTCCAGTGGAGCAGACTTACAGAACAATAACGACTTTCTTCGGCGATTAACGTCTGCGCGCGTGTCTGCGTTTTTGATTGTAGGATGTCACATACCTGGACATCGTCAACTACATGCCTCAAAGGCCCATGAGCGGCTCGCCGTCTGGCACGGCTTTAAGCTTGCACTTGCGCTCGACAAGCGTGTGCTCGAGCCTCGCCTCGCCCGGCGACAGCGGAATTGCTTTTGACAGTGACATGGACGCAGCCAATGAGACTGACACTAGCAGTTACAAGGAAGTACGTATGCAGCAAAATGACTCTAAATCTATATCGATAAAATTAGATTTAACGGCAATCAATTGGTTTTTTACACGCAAAGTGGAAGAGATATCAGGTAAAGGCTCCCTTGAAACTATATTCTCCACGCACCTATACTGACTTATCGCTCGCTTGGTCAATTGTAAAGCGCAAACATTTCGTACTTTAATAGGTCGTGACATTGTATCGTTGCACAAATTGACACATTTTTTTCCATATTTACGAGCCTACATGATTAATTGATACTGTTCATCATTTTTTTTTGTCCACGAGCGCTTACAATTTTATGCTTATTTATGAATATATTTTCACTTCTTTTTTTCGCTTTCTTCGCTGGCTACGTCAGATTATTAATCATTACTTCGTTATCGTTAAACAGACGATATAAAGCTTCAATAAATTCTAATTAGTAGCAAATCGTTATTCAGCTCTCGCCTTTGATACGTGCATTCTAAAAGCTACAGTTTAACGATAGGTGTATCATCACGCGTTATCGGTGACTGCCAAAAGTAAACGAATAAACAAGTTATTGAAAAGACAATTTTTTGCTTTCCAGGAGGACTGGTCATCGCGAAAAAACATGAAATACCGCAACAACAGATACAAGTTGGTGAACAACTCGAATGAGAACAAAAACTTCGAGTTCACGTCGAGCGACTCCGGCAATGAGAATAAAACACCTAAACAATCGCCTGTTGCAGCCACGAAATTTCACAACACTGCAGTTACGAACAGCGATATTATTAATCAAAATCTTACGAGTTGCAAGCTCGACGACAACGAGCTCAACTGCTCAAGCTTAGATACGATAAAGGTTTTATTAATTTGTTTCGCGTTGCCAAATTGTTTGCATATATTTTTGTCAGCTGAACATTGGTATAACTTTTCTCTCTTGGTTTTTTCAGGATTACAAATATTACAGCAAGAGCGTGGATCCGTCGATAGAAGAGGCAAACACGGACTCGGAGAACAATGGTATCCTCATAACAGCATACAACAAGCGTCCGAATTATTACGGCAGTGACGCGAGTTACAGTTTCAAAAAGATGTTGGATCCCCGCAATACCTACGTCATCAATAACGATACGAATCTGCTGGAGCTGAGTATGACCATCTCCGACTGCGATAATACCGAGGCGCCCTACAGTATACTAAATACCGTCAACATGACTGACACCAGTATACTCTCGTCCTCTAGCTCGGACGCACTCGTTCAGCGGAGACGTAAGAAGAAGCGCAGCGAGACCAAGAAGAGGGTTAGCTTTCACGAGGATATCTTTAAAATGATGAAACTCGATGATGACGAGAATTACGTGGATTATACAATGACTTATGATCCACCTGATTCATTGCCTAAAAAAGATACACAGAAAGGAAGGTATGTACGAGATATTTTTTAAAAGATACCCTCTTCGTTTAACGTGTAGAATATATAATTTCATGAGACCGAAAAATGCCCATTTTATTATTGTAATAAGTATTTAATTAACTCAAAAGATATTTTCTAGTTTTACAAAATGCAACATTGTTTGTATGAGTCCTATTGAAACACTCAGTAATATTTTCTTTGATTTATTGTAATACGCGTATAAATAACTATCTAAAAAATTTAGAGGTAACAATCGTTTGTTTATGAATGTTGGTTGCCCTTTCTCAGAGGCACCTGCGTACGTAACTAATTGCAGAAAAGCTGTCAGCAGAAATTTTTCGATATGATAGTTTTCAAAATTTTCATTGACTTCTCAATTCGAAAGTCACGTATCTCTGTCTCTTTCCATCTCCCTTTATATCTCTCTTTCTCTCTCTTTCTTTCTCTCGTGTTTGACCGCGGCACACTCATTTGTGAAAAATCATTGTTTTATTATCGTAATAAAGCAATACTGAGATTATTGGTTCATTTAATCGACCAATCTATAGGTACAGTTGGTGCGCTCACGGCGATTCGCCGTACGCACAGCAGAAGACACCGAGCACGAGGAATGCTTACTCAGACTACTACTCATCTACGTCGTCATTGAGTTTCTTCGATAGCGATGCCAGTGGCGAGCGTAAATCTGCCTCCAACAGCAGTAGCGGCTGCCCCGAAGTTGCCGAGTGCGCCTGTTCATTGGCCGAACGTGGTACACCAGAGGGTCAAGAAGATCCTGGCAGGACTTTTAGACCAAAATTGGAAATTGAATTGGAGGATAATGAGGCGCAAGAGGCCTACATCATCGAGAAAGCATATGGAAATGTTGTAGAAGACCCTCCGGTTAAACTAGAATCACCTACCTCACCTAATGTTGAACCCGAGGTGAATTTTTATTATAAATAATCGAAATCCATTAGATTTTTTATTACTTTTACAAAAAAGACCGCTTGTTATATAAAAATATCTTGTGACCTAAATTTAAATGACTGTCATTGTATTTATTTATAGGGTAAATACATAAGCTCAAGCGATTGGTCTGATATCGATAGCGTAACAACGGCCTCGGATATGACTGAAGACCGGCGCAACAGTAACACCGGTAGTAAAAGTCGACATTTGGTGTCTCCTGTGAAGAAGCGCAATATAACATCGATAGTATCTGTAGACAATAATCGACTGACTGTACCACCTCTGCGTCAAGCTCCCTCAAAAACCTCGTTACTCAGTAGGTTTTTGCGATCAATCACAGAAAGAAAATTCGACACGAAGAAGGATAAGAAGAGCGCTACACAGTCAAATCCTCTCTTGATGAAAGGAGCGAAAATTGACCAGAATGCCGTAAAAGAGTTTAACGATGCACTTGAGAAAGAAGTTCAGGAGAACGTGGCCGCCTCAGAAAAGGACTGCAGTGGCGAAAAAATTAGTTTAAAATTGCGCGAAACCTTCAGAAAAAACATCTACAGAGATAAGACTGAAGAGTTGTACAAAGTTTATAAAGTCAGAAGTTCATATATGACCAATGGGGAGAGTAAGCCAATGCTTGCATTATTAACCAATAAGACATTGTATTTGACTGGGCAGAAAGGCGATCATACTTACAGCAATCAGTTCGTTATTCCATTTAACGAACTTGATGTCATTATGGTAAGATATATAAACCCTCAAAATCAATTGCAGAAGTTAATTTTGACTGTAAAATCATCGTTAAATTCAATCGCATCACAGGTAGGACCTAACGCGCAAACTATTTTAATATCCAATGCCGATTACGAGATGCAGTACTTATTCTCAACTGGCAGCAGTCAAACCACATCAGAACTCATAACTCACTTGGAAATGGCTATGAGAAGATCTCCAACGAAGCCTAGGTTGCCGGCAGTCAAAGAGCTCAATTGCGACGACATGCGTACTCTCAAGCACTCTATTCTTGCCGAAACAGCCGTTCATCCGGTAAGTGATCTTGTTTTTTCACACTCAAAGTCACACGAATATAAATCATGCATGTATGAACATTATTCTTTGTATAGGATGAAAAAATCGAACACTACAGTCTTATTTACATGGAGGACGACCACATCTCCCCCCCAGCGACTCCTTGTGGTCCAACGAAGGAGGGGGACCTCATGTTTCGATCTCATATCTATAACACGCATCATCCAAACGCACCTACAAATCCATGGGAGGCCGGCTACTTTGTTTTGAAAGGCGGAGTTGTTTACATGTTTACCGATAGCAACCAAAGATTACCTAAACGTGCCATTCCATTGAAAGGTGGCCTGTGCCAAGGTTGTCGGCGAATTCCTAACTCACATCGCCCACATACTTTTGAAATACTTCTGAAGCCTAATAAAGCATTCCAGGTCAGTTGAATTTTGCACGATTGCAGTATACAGGTCCCCTTGAGTACAAACTCTATTTCCTTTATAGTTTGCTGCCCCCGACGAATATGTCGCATCCGAGTGGCTGCAAAGCTTCATTCAAAGTGCTTCTGGCCTTTACGATTGCTCCGAAAAAAAAGATCCACTTCCTTGCAGTCTGGTCGTAACCTCTAAACATCTAGTGGCTACGAAGGAAGTATTTCCTGGAACTCAACGGGGTCAAATACTCTCATGTGCTAGTATTGAGGATCTTTCTGCTATTCGAATACCTCTTGCTCAACAATCTTGGTGCATATTGGTATGTCGTAAAGCAATTCATCGAGTGACAAAAAATGTTTGAATGAAGACGTATTTATCGTTTTCAATCATTTCAGGAGTTCGCGTGTCGGGAAGTACACGAATCCAGTGGCGATTGGGTCGTATACTTTACAAACCATAGAGAGCTTTGCGAATTTCAAGAAATTTTAGAAAAACTGTGGGCAAATAATAATGAGGTGAACGTTGAATTTTATCAAATTCGCGACTCCTAATAAACATTGTATTACTGTGCAATGTATTCTTAAGAGTCGTATTTATTAATGTTTTATTTTTTAAAATAACAGAAAATATTTTGTACAGGAAAATTTCCCAATTTCAACACTACCTCCAGAGGATAAGCTGCATCGCCGTTGCTCAGATGCGTGTAAAAATCTTGAGCAAGCTTGGCAGTACTTGTTACCATTAGTTTCAGAGTAGTATTGCAGGATACTTGATAGATTCAAGTTTTGCGTAACTCTTATAAATCATTATTCCTTTACCAAATCTAGTTAAGTGGTCCGAAATTGAGTATGAGTTATCATACTAAAGTGAAAGGAAAAAACGTGTATCATCGCTTTGCTTACTTAAAAATATCATACAAGTTATATGAAATTACAACTTTTATGATAATGTTGATTATTTTAATTAGAGCTCCGGTTATATTAGCTCCGATAATTTTTTTACCAATGATCGAGTAAAAAAAGGTATATTTTCTGTTGTGTTGATTGGCTTTGTTACAGCTCTACAGTTGAGTGCAATAATTGCTTTGTTACATATATTATATGTGAATGTTTTGTCACTTATTTATAATTCTAAAAAGACTGTATATATTTATGATTAATTACGTCGTAAGTGTCTATATATATAAGTGTACTCGCATTTATGGAGAGAATGAAAAGAAACGCTAGAAGTAGTAACGGCGCAAAAAAAAAAAACAAAATAATGTACCCTTCAATCAAATAATTCAACATTTGTTTGCCTGTGACATTTCTTGGAAGAATAGCTTTCACGCCCGGGTGAGATGCAATTGATTATTAACATTCCCTATAACCAAGGAAAAATGCCTTAGCTTTGCAATTATATTTTTTGTAATATCTCATATATCATAAAAAAAAACAAATTATAACTCGAAAAAATTGCGTCAAGTTGGAAGAGCAAAGGAAAATACTCACTTCCTCTACTACTAAAATTGTACAGATATTAAGATTCGCACAGAATTACATTGTATTATATTGAAGGTGCTTCAGTTGCCAATAAGCAAAAAACATGTCATTGTTTGATGTTGGAGATTATTGGAAATTATTTATTAGAAAAGCAGTATTTTTTTATTCTTACCGTAAGTTTCTCGGTGAAAATTTTCGTAACATCACATTCATTTTGAGTTTCAAATCAAGAGTTTTTAAATTGTTTATTTTTTAATTTTCTTTACTGTGCTCTATTGCGAGTTGTAGCTTGTTCTAATATTTAACTGTACATGTATCGTCAAGGCAAAGTATTCAGATCAAGTTGTTACTCGCAAACCCACCAATTGTAATAGGAAGTTTTTAATAAGTAATCAGCAACTGTGTATCGAAGAATTATTCAGAACCTTGATATGATAGTATGAGCTACTCGTGATTAATATTGAGGCTTGTCAACAAAACTATTTATCTCGTAACACATATAGTTCAAATAATCGGTATAATGAACTGTATAAACATAAACGAAATCATGTTCTAATGATTTAAGGTGTCCTCCAACAAAATATCTATTTATATAAAAACAATTATTACGATCTTTAGAAGCCTAAACTTATGTAAACTTGATTGGATACTTCAAAGTTTTTGGAAATTAACCATTTATTCAAGTTACAGTGGTATTTAGAAAATAAACTTTTCGTAAATAAATACCGTAGTTTTCATGACAATCCTCGATATAGAATCTAAAATTCAATATCATAAATGTATAACGGTATAAATTTTTGCATAATACTGTATTGGGTTTCACCATACATCGGCTACACAAGCGTCATCCAAACCTCATAAATTGAGATATAACTTTCGTAAATATTTCGCTTGTGTATCCGTTGTTATTATTCTATTAAGAAATAACTGATTATCAGAGATGTATCAATAGTGATTGAAACTCAATAATAAAATTGTATGAACCATTTAGTCAAATCATTTTATTCATGCTATTCCGTACCTACTTAAAAAATATGTGGTTTCATTATCACTTATAAAAACTCATGCATTGCAACTTATGTAACCCCTCTAAATATTAGTAAACACTGTATTCACAATTACATCTCAGGAAATATGATATAATTTTTGTTGCACTAATGCAAATCTGTTGATCGATATTAAATTATTGTAAATAATTTAATGGTGTTTAACAGTATAGATTTTAATACTTTAGAACATTATAAACTTAGGCATTTTCAGTTATACAATAAGATTCTATGCTCTACGAGAGGCATTACCTAAACTCTTCAATTTATTAGATCTCAAAGCTTTCTCTAAATCGATTTTAGGATATTTGGCTCTGATTGCATCCAAATTAGTATTAGGGAATTTCTTCAAAATAGCTACAACATTATTTGTTTGACGACTGCAAAAGATTTAAATAAATTAGAACTTATAGTTGTTCTTAAACAGCTCTAGTTTAAAATTTCTATACTAACTTGATTTCTTTTCGTTTCTCATTCCAAAGTTTTTCACGGTACAACCTCAGAAATTTTCGAACAGCATATCCATTGTAATGATGTTGATGTTTCTTTTTCCAAATTGAATTAATGAATTTGGGTATTGTATACTGACGCAATTTATAGAGATGTCTTATACCTAAAAATCAATATAAAGAATGTTGATTTTTATTTTCAATTGAATATGAAAATGAGTTCATAAGCTACTCATTTACATTTTATGAGTATTTATCAAAAAACATTAAACAAACTAATACCTAAAACATTATTAACAATTTTAGATGGCCGTTCTCCACTTTCTCCAGTTTCTAATTGATAGTAAGCTTCATTTCTTTCACGTACAACTGCCTCAAGATTGTCCATGCTATCTAGAACTTTATCTATTCTTTCAGGACTTGGAAACAATTCATATGCTTCATTATATGCATGTTCCATTGTCATGAGCATATTTCGCTCTTTAAGCAACACATACCTGTAGTTTACTATTATATTTTAGTTTTTCTAATTGATAATTCAAACATAAAAAATAGTAGATAAAAATTAGTTTTACTAATTACCATAATTTGTGTAAATCTTCGTTGCTTTTAATTCTTAATTCATCTTTCTTCCATGAGCGACCAGTTTGAATTTTACTTTTACTCCAGTTTTTTTCTACATCAAAAAATTCTTCTAAACCATAATTTATTAATGTTGTGTGTAAAGAAGCACACCGATGAACTGTTGGTCTAAAAAACATTAATTTATAACCTAACAATTGCATAAAACTTGGACAGTATTTAATATTAAATTATTTATTAACATTAATTGATTACACCATATTTGAATAATATTTTATAAAATGTTAATGCTGACTTATAAGAAGAGCAGTAAAAAAAATAACTAACTTTTGTATAATTACAATTAGCTAAATCAGTAATAGAAGTTTTTTCTGACCGACAAATAAGCGATGATAATATACGATAACTTACATCGTTTGAAATGACCAACTGGCAGATGGATGTAAAATTTTATTCAACGATAAATTTGACAATAATTTTGTCATACTATTGATAGTATTTGGAGCTTTTAGTACTTTTATTAAAGTTGCCATTTTCACATATTCAATCTCTACTGCACACCACAAAACATGAATGGCCGGTAGTTTCAAGAACTGCAGCTGCAATGACCAATAGTAAATTTCTATCTTACCAACCATCGTTGGTAAGGATTAATTTTACCAGCTATCGATACTAACTAATCTTTACATTATACATATATATATTTTTTTTTTTATATGGATTTTTCAAATTTCAGCTAGTAAGTTTCAAGTAAAAAAATAAAATAATAAAATATTATTTTAATGAAAATTTTTATTTTGATAGACTTTATTATTTTATTGTATAATTATTTTTGGCGGAATAAGGATCATCAAATAATAATAATAATAAAACTTTTTTTTAGATATCAATTAAAGATTTATTATCACAAACTATAAACTATGAGACGTACACACAAATATTTAAGAAAAGCTTATTCACGATTTGTATAATTTTACTTTTTATATTACGTGCCTTGATGATATAAAATTAGAAATAGAGGTTTCAGTGTATACATATAGATATCGATCAATTTAAACAAGAGTACAACTTTAAATTTATTATGCACATTTTACTAATTACAGCTTATCATTAGGTATACACCACAGTTGATACGAATGAAGATTGTACAGTTATTAGTAAGTAAATTCATCAAAAAAGTCATTTTGAATGCTATATATGAGCCATAGATTCCCTGTACAATTTTTATAGTTGACTTGAAATGCATTACACGTTAAGTGATTTTTTTATTGAAGTTGAAACTAGGTTTGAAAGTTAAAAAGATATTATTGTATAAGTTCTACATATCAAATAGATTTAAAATGTGTACAATGATCAAAATTGATAGGCACCTCTCACTGTATATTGACTTAACAATTAGATAAAAATTAATAATCATTTATAAAAATGCTACTATATACAATTAAGACACAATAATGTTCGACAAATGCTACGACTTTTAGTTGACCAAAGTTGTTTTCTTTTTTCTCAGAATTATTAAAAAATCTTTTTTATAAAATATATCTTTATATTCATATTTGTATTACACATCTCATTTTCTTTAAACCACAGCGGCAACAAAGAAAAACAAGATTCGAAGGGATATACTATAACTCTGTTTTATCTAATATGCTATGTACAATTACAATTCCGCCTCGACTAAACAAAACACTAGACTATGTCGAAGTATACGCGTAATGATTTTATTATTCGTAGTTATATATAAATCGTTTTTTCACAGTTATGACATTGCTGAGCATGGATAAATCATTACGTAATAGAACAACCATTCAGCTGTATATAGTAAAGAATAGACAAAGAAATTAGACGATTATCAAGTGAAACAATAATTTCATTCCATTTCTTCGAGGATTAGAATATAAAACAATGACATTTAATTGTTCTATAGCCATCAAAGAAAAATGGATTCTTAAACAATAACAAAGTATACGACGTGCGGCTTAACATCACATTATGGATATATTTAAGATGAAACTCAATCAGTTGCGTTTCGACTAAACTCAAACGAGGCACTGCAAGCTTCGTAAATAAATCGAATTAGTATCATTTCTTTTCTAAGCCGCATGAAAAATGATTTGCACATATACGCTGACTGGTACAAAACAAAAACTAACAATTTGCTTCCGTAACTTACAATTTTCACATGAGTAGATACACTCCACGATAAAAAAATAAACAAAGAGAAGAATATCGGCCATGCAAACATCGTAAAAAGAGTGGGCCCACAGAAAGATGGTGCATCAAAATTGCAAGTCAACGCATTAAAATATCACATGAAGCGTCGCAGGTCGAGCGTTCGAAGCTATTGACATCCTATCGTCGTGTACCTTAGGTATGCATGACATGTAAAGTCGCTTCAGCAACAAAAGCATAGAGTAGAGGATGCAACAGTCGAGAGCGAGTGAAATGAAGATATATAATATGTGTTGTATAAGATATGTTCTGGTGGACGAGAGTGATGTTTTCTGTACTCTTCGTGTTATCGTATGTTGTTGGAGAAAAAAGGGATGGTGGACGCTCGAGCGTCCGGCGAGGACATACAGAGACGAAAGAATTTAAAAAAAAGAATAAGGTCCGACAGTTCAACAAAACACACTGTTAACTGCTGTTGCTTCGTTGCTGCTGCTTATTGGCTATGCGTCGCATCACATGTGGATCGTCGCGGCCGTGTAACGTGCCTCGCCTCGCCGCCAGCTCCACTGACTTGGCCGGTACTGCAAGAGGTAATAAAGCGCGTCATTAGATAGACTTGGAGGCACACAACGCCGATTTCCTTAGCACGTCACTTTGCGCGTGACACCATACTCTACTCGGCACTTGGCCTTTTATCAGACTAATTACAAATTATTATTAATCATTGCTCGGCGACTCGGAGATAAATTGCCTTATTCATTTTGTCCTCATTCGGAGATAAAATTGTCGCGAGTCACGTTCAAGTTTGCACTACACCACGAAATACAATTTTTTTTTTTCATTTCTGAGCAAAAATCCAAGCTCGTATTACTACCGAAGACAATAAAATGTGCTTACTCGAATAAGCATCTGTCCCGATGTACTGTGTGGATTGCGGTAAGCGTAACCAGCCCAAGCGCCTAGTCCCACTATAAGCGATACTACGAAGAGAATGCCGATGATTCCAGAGACGCTCATGTTCATGTTACCTTGAGCTGAAAAAAGAAATATAAAATATGTGTAATGCTTGGGAGTGCGGTTATTCAAAACATTCAAGCTACAAGTTTGCAAATTCGCTCCGTACGAATACGATTTTCAAATTGTTGGCATAGAAGTTAAATATTTGAAAAGTTTGGTTTAAGTTACTTCCAAGTTCTCTTTATTCAAATTCCTTTTCAATTGAAATTTTCGAAAAATATGCACACAAATAAAATCCAACGACTAATTTTCATTTCAGTCTATAAGGCAACAGGGTTATTCTCAGTCTAGATATTTATGAAATTCCCAATCAATCTGTATGCAATTTTTTTTTCGATCGTACGCGAGAAACTGCAATCAAATTAAAATTTGAATATGGAGAAATGCACTCATCAAAATTAAAATTAAACTTGCTCTCTAAACCGGAATTTCCTGTTCCGTCACAAAAATATAAGAATGCAGCAACAAAACTCACGATGTTCTAAAGGACTGTTGTTCGGGCCAATAGCCTGCTGATTTGGAATGTATTTTTTAATCTCAGGCCTATCATCGGTGTGATGATCTTGCGCTCTGTCCATTGGCTCTTCGTAGCCGATAACGGGCGCAGGACACTTGTCGGAATCTTTAACGTAATGCAAATCGCAACCCTTCTGAAGCCACTCCTGCCTGAAACGGAACATGCCGGTGCTACATTTGCTCAGCTTTGGACACCATTTGCACTCCCATTCTTTGATCTTCGTCAGGCAGTCCGAGCAGTTTTCCATTTGCAAACACGTTGGCAGAGCTGTCAGGTAGATCGATGTCCAGTTCTTGATTTCTTGACGATTGAAGTTCACGCGGTGATACTCGTAGATCGTCTTTCTCCGAGTGACTGTAACATTTTAATAAATTAAACATAACACGATGGGAATAAATCTTAGTAGGCTACATTGTAAATATCACAAAAATAATATATAAAAATTTTTTTACTTCTAAATTGCGAAATCCTACGATTGGCTTATTGAAAATTTTCGTTGGTTCAGAAAACCTATTTGCAACAAAAGTAAGTCAAAAATTACTCTCATCGTTCTTACACGAGTGCTATAAGTCGGTGTGGGAAAAAAAAAGATAAAAACGCACTCGTATAAGCTCTATATTCGACCTAGTTTTTTGTTAGCAAAATTAACTAGGTGTTCGGTTTCTCAAGCGACCGTCAATTAAGTCGTAGAAGACAATTTTCTGGGTTATGTATAGGAATCAATGCGGCGAACTGCTATGAATATTAAAAGGCAGTATTAATTATTTACGCTTCAAATCGATAAAGGCTCAAATCCGGATCAACGTTTAATTGTGGAGCTTTATCAAAACGTACAATTTCTACGGCATCGTTCTAAAATAGTCATGCAGTAGGAATCATTTCAAGTATCGCGGCTGGCATTCTAAAAAGACAATTTATTTGGCAAGTACTGAATGAGTATGAAGATTGTCCTTTTTAATACGCAAAATCAAGAACCCATCGATAAACCAAATCCATGTAAAGTAATCAAGGTATTTTCCGCGCAGAGTCAGTTGATTAATGATCTCGCGCGCTCGCACGTGTGATCGGCGAGTAACCGGCCCCAAGCTCCGCGCGTCGGGCGAGCAATGATTCATCGTCGTGGAGACGAAAAACGAGGTCGCCAAACGAAATTGCACAGCGTCTTCGCACGGAATCGGAAGCCAGCGGCAGCAGCAGCGCTCGCCATAACGAATCGTCGCGAATTAAGTGAAAATAAGAAGAAAGAGAGAAACGAGCGAACCGACGATTATAGATTTTGGCGTGGCGCCAGAGTTAGAGCTGGCGACAGGTGCAACAGGCTATGTTGACCTCCCCCCCCCCCCCGTCTTTGCACTCGTGTCGACGAACGAGAAATCCCCCCAGGGACAGACTGAGATTTTCAACGACTGCTATCGTTTCGGCTCCGGATATTAATTTCGATACTGTTTCATTGGCAACCGATATTATTCGATTTAATTAAGAAACTCAAGTAAATCTTCATTTAATTTTTCAGAATGTTAGAAGTTATGAGCGAGTGCGAATACGTGACATTGTAAAATGATTTAGAGAGAACCCCGAGACGACACGACGTTGGAAAAACCTAGTCGACTTGGACCTTAAATTCGAAAAGCGCGGCAATCGTTATCGAAAGATTAGCAAGGAAGAGGGAGGTCATAGATAGTTGATCAAAAAGGGGTAACTATTTCTTCCTACCCTCGGAAGACTCTCCCACTCTGAAGAAAGCGTGGCGATTTTGGCCGTAACGGGACGACCGTCAAGACAACGGTCGAAAGTGCTCAGACCGGTCTAAGAGCCGTAGGTCTTCTGTTGAACCTTTTATTTTCCGCCTCCCAAAAGTATTCGATGCGGAAGTTAAAATTATTCAAGCTCTTATTAAGAAGATTAAAAAATTTTTACATTTGGATAACAGAACCAAGGTGAAATATATACGCACTGCTCGTGTTTACGTACGAAAATAACCAAACTGATTAAAGCGACCAGCTGGTGTTAAACAGTGAAAATTAAAAATTTTTCTTTACTGCGATATAAAAATCATTTTAATAAAGTTATCATCATGAAAATGTTCGATTTTGAAGTTTCGATAAATGCTTTTATTATCTTCTTTTTTAGTTTAAAAATCTCACGTTAGAGTAATCGAAAATAATTGATGGGCTCATTTTTTTTCTTTAGATCTTTAGATCAGCACTCCAGATTAAGCGAAGGATTTTTTCAAATAGTCAATTTTACCATTTTTACGACAATTTTTCAGATATATTCGGAGTCCTTCATGATAAAAAATGTTCATGATGATAATTTCATTAGAATGTTTTTCTATGCCACAGTAAAGAAAACTTCTATATTTTTCACTGTATAATAATGACCTCTTTAAAAGCTTATCAAATAGCCGGAATAAATAAATCTGTGAAGGTCGTTAATTAAGCGAGTTGATGCAATCGGCATTCATACTCACAATAGTGGGTTCGGTCCATCATATAAGCGTCGCTGAGTCCAATTTTGACGGGGTGCTCTTTGTCCTCGATTTTCTCAACGAGTACCGGTATTTTCGCGTACACGAATATGATATCGCCGTTTTGCAGAAGCGTCACTTGGAAGGTGAATGGTCCGGCTTCTTTCTTATCTTGCAAGTGCACATTCTCCCATTCGACGGTGAATGCCGTTCCTGCAATTCCCCCAAGCAATTTCCAAGATAAAGAATAATAGTAACGCACACAAATCCGGCCATAGCGCCGAATGGTCATTCTTAAACGCACCAACTTTCGTCATTCCTTTCTTTCCTTACTTTCTCTTGCGTAAAAAAAAAAAAAAAAAAAATACTTATTTAACAATCATAAAAACCGTTTTGATACTCGTAACAGAAGTGACACCGGACGTGCATCGTTCGGTAAAGCAACAAGTGAAAATCATCGCGTGACAATTATACGATAACGAGGTATTGTGTATACGGCACGCTTACCGTTGTCGGCGTACTTGACTTTGCTGACGTTCGAGAGCGTGGTGTCGAAATTGGCCATGAGTGGTGCGATGTACTGGGTGGCTGCTAACCAGCTGTGCACGTACTCGCCCGTGTAAAGAAAGCCGCCGGTGGCGATCGTAATGTTGCGTACTTTGTGGCCGTAGAACGGGAAATCGAACGACAGCTTTATAGTCTGCAAAGAGAACAACGGTGCTCGGTATTCTCGGAGTCCAGCCAGGAATTATTTCGCGAGAGTTTTCACTTACGGCCGCGCGACGATGGCTCCTACTCAGCAGAGGATTGACTTGAATATTGGGATGATTATCGAGATCGATCCAGTACTTTCTGCCGACAGTTTCGTCGACGGTGAATGTGCTGTTATAGTACTGGTACGTATCGTTCTTGGCCATTGTGATATTGTTGTCATGTAGGATTTTGTCCGACATCGTTGGATATGCATCCTCGAAACCAGCGTCGTCCTCGGTAACGGCGCCGCCAAGCGCTGATGTCGTCGTCGTTTCCTTCCACAGGGTTTGGTTGGCCCACACGTGGACTTTCTGCAACGTAAATAATCATTGCAATGAGCCTCTTGTCAAATTGTTCGTAATTAAACAAATTAGTCATACCGATGGAGGGAGTGGCGTGACGGGTGCGACAGTAGCGTTTTGCTTGGCAGTATCGTTGGCATTATTCGGTACAATCGGCGTGGACACAGTAGTGGGCTTGTTGGGCTGCTGTTGCGCTTTCGGCGTGACGGCGGTGGTCGACGTGTCAGTGACATTCTGATCTTGAGTCGAGTAAGTGACGTTGGCACTCGGCGAGCTGGATTTGGTGCTTATGACCGTTTCGCTGGGTTTCGCTGCTGACGACGACTGTGGGTCGTCGTGCACAGGCTCTATTGGCGCACGACGTCGCCTCTCCAGTGCGTGCAAGCTACCCGGATGAGAACCAAGTTGGAATTCAAGGTCTTGCTCGAGCTCGCCGAAATCCTCAGACAAGTGAGAGTCGTAGCGATAGTGGGATAGATCTGCAAATAAGCGCGATGTGTCATGAGTATCAATGTGAAAATATAACATTTTTTTCTGCATACTGCTACGTCATGCTGGTTTAGGTTGAAGATTCTATAAGCGGATATTTATATTAGCAAATAAATTTTCCCGAGAGATACTATTATACTTGTACCATACGATATACATTAAAAAAATAAGAAATTTGAAATCATCATGTTAGTGATCTACGGCAATAGAACGTACGAATCTGATCAATATTTTCTCAAGATTTCTAATTCCTTCTAAAGAATACCCTCTATTCTCACAATTTGCATTTATTTTTCGCAACGGTATACATTCAAGCACGTAAAAAGCAGACGAAAAGAAAAGATGGAAAGTAAAGGTTCAACGCTCCTGTTATTGCTCTATTTAAAAGATAAATATCTGCACGAGCATCGTCGCGCCGAATGCTTGTTGCATATTTTCAATGAAATTTCACGCGTGTCTTTCGATCGACGAACGAGACCCCCGCGCGAATCCACACGACACTAGCGCCTTTGAAACGAGCACCGCCAGTTCCGTCTCGCCGCCGTCGCATCTCGGATTAATTTTCCGCTGCGGTCAGAGCTTCCGCGAAAGAAAACGACCCTCGGAGAGAAATTGGCCAGGGGAAACGCCTCGAATGTGCGCGTAAGAAAACTCGAACGTGGCACGCGCGCGCGCGCGCCGGTCGATTCCCCTCGTAGTCGCGCCACACATGAATTAATCAAGTCGCAAAGCCTCTCAACGGCACGGTTCTCCACCAGGTATATAAGCCCATCGATTTCAGCATTCTAACCTGGCTCGACGCGAGTGCACGTCGGAGTCGATGCATTTTTCTCCCGTTCCTTCCTTCTTTCTTTCTTTCGCAGTCGCCGCCGCAGTGCAAGCGAACGCCCGAGCCTCGTGCGTTTATTGCTCGTTCAGCGCTCAATTAACGCGAGGGCGAGGGTTTCAGGCTTTGACCGCGCTAAAGAGAGTTGATGTGGGAGGGCCGCTGCGCTTGTCCTCGATGAGCGCGACGAGATCTCGGATTGAAACGTCGGCGATCGAATTAAATAGCGGGATTCGAGCGAGTGCCGTCTAGCGAAGTTTGGCGCGCGAGCGCATCGAGGGAATTGGAACGGGGCTCGCCGGAGTTCTGCAGCGGAGCCGATGATTTATTCAATGGAGATGACGACTTTATTTGGAATGCCGCGCAGCGCGGGAGCGAAGCCACTGCAAATGACTCGCCGCGTAGCTCCGGCAAGGCAAGGTGAATGCACGACAAGGCGCATTTCCCGCAACTCGAAGCCCGAGTCCTGTAAAAGGCTCGCTCCCCCGCGTTCACGGAAATCCCGCGAAGTAAGAGATCGATCGCGACGGCAAGAGATCCGTTAGGAGTCGCGGTGCGGCGGGGGGGGGGGGGGCACAAGAGAGCCGCGTCGCGCGAGCGTCCCAGATGACGGAATATAGTCCGTGGGCAGAGCGACAATTTTGCTTCCTCTGCGCGTTCACATCGGCTCCGAGATCGAGCGCGTAAGTGCACTAATGCCACGGCTCTCGTGGCGCATCGTTTTTTATCTGCCCGAGTCGCTCCGTTGAGTCTTGTACAAAACGTTATCGCTTCGCGAGCATGAAGCTACTCTCCTTTGACAATTAATTGTTCGCGCAGTCGATAGGCGACGCGCTCCTCGTCATCGGTTGCACCACCACGAACGATACGATGTCATCGCGAGACTTTGTACGTGCGTCCGAAGCGATAACGCGAACTTCAGTCTGATATTCTCGCTACGCGAAAAGCGAAGCGCGCCCGTGTAAATCGCCTTCGGGAACGTAACGGGGTCAATATCGGAGCTCGATCGGTCTCGGGAAGAAAAAAAAAGAAAAGGCAAAGGGGAAAAAAAAAAAAAAAAAAAAAAATCAATCGATTCCGAAATCGACGCGATCTCTCTCCGCCTGTCTCGGGCGCGCGAGCGCGCAAACGGGACTCGCGATTTTTCAAGCGAGTCCGAGCTCATCCGTTACCAAGTTCGATGTACAGCTACGCGGCCTGACGCGCCAAACAGCATCGCATAAATCCATCTCGACCTGCGATGCGATACACAGATATATATACGGATCGTCGCTCCGATTCAGCTGTTGCGCGGTCGAAGGGCCGAATAGTGTCATGTAGGTCAAGGCGCACGCGGAAAGGACGAGAAGTCCGACCAAGTTCCCGTGCGCCGAGCAGCGCAGCTATCGGTTCGCTCGAAGCATTGCGAGGGGGGCAACGTCCGCAAAGACTCTCTAGTCGCTTGCATTCCACCGGCGGCCTTGGCTCTCTCTCTCTCTCTCTCTCTCTCGCAGCGCGGCTATTAGCAAACGTTCGAGAGCGCCGAGAGCGACAGGTTACTTTTCCCTGGCGAGGCGCCTCGGGTGACGCAACTCGCCGTCGTGATTCACAATACCGCCCCGTATCCCCCGCATACCCTTGCACAACCCATTCACTTGCTTCGATCATTTTCGACAGGCGCGCTCGACGTCCTCGCTTATCCTAAATGTGCGCGCGCGCGCGCGCGAAGTCAAACGCACGCGTGGCGAATTCTTAAACGGCCTCTGCGCATGCATTGTTTCGCAAAGCACCCGCTAACTTTTCTTCATTAGTCGACGCAGCCCATTGTTCTTTCCGTTTGGAGAATACGTGCGTTACAGCTGCGGAATTGAAAATTGCAAGCCTGCGAATTCAAGAGATGGCTTTTTCCCCGCAGTCTATCACTGATTGATCAATTTCGAGTCAAAACGCTATTTCTTTTTTTCAATAAAAAACAAACAAAACAAACTCCTGTCTTCGTTCAATCAATTCTAAACTCTGCAATTTTTGTAACCCAGACTCGTAAAGGTACTTCATCATCTCTTACGACTTTTGACGTTGATTAAAAGCCAGTATCGTCAATGAAAAATTAAAAAGCACTCGTTAAAAGAAAGCTTTCTCCCTGTCTCGAGACTGTTCTCGGTTCGTTAAAAAAAAAAAAAGGTTATTTTCACGGAGCACGTACGGCATCGCACGGGAAAAAGACCAACTCGCAACTTTGAGGCGCGCTGCATCCACTTGAGATACATCCTCCGTTTGACGGTTGCATGAGCCCTCTCAAAACAGTGGAATCATTGTCACTGACTTTCTGCCGTTTCTTGCGAGCACAAAGTCGCCCATTGAATACTCGTGCGCGACGCGCGTGCAGGCATTTTTGCGGCTATCAAAGTAAACTTTCCCAACTCGTTTCGCTTCAAAACGAGCAAATAGGAATTGAAGCCCTTGCGCTGTGAAATAAAAAAAAATAAAAAGAGATCGAGAGAGCATTATAGCCTTATGTATACTTTTCAAAATACGTTTCGCGGAATATACTCTTTGATGATGTATTTTTCCTCCGCTTGCTTTGAAGTGTGTACGGGAACTATTACTGCTGAACATAATGATATATACGCGAGAGGGAAACTTCACTTGAAAAATGTCGTAGCGAAGGAAAAGTAATTAGAAAAACCAACGTTATTCGTACACACTGCAATCAAGTCCTTAAGAAACATACCAGCAAAGCAATCAGGGCACAAGAAAGTAGCCTCGCGCGTGAGTGATAAGTCACGCGACTAAACACAGACATCCGCCTTGTTAAAAAATACCAAAGCCATGCCACGCGACCCCCTGCTCCCTTCCCTCGCTCTCCTTTACTTTTGTACTGTATTACGTCGAAGGTAATTAACTCGACAAAGACGATTATCTCATAACTGCGCGCGCAGTTGCGGAAACGACGAAAAAGAAAAGAAAACAAAAGAGCTGACCTCGCGAAAAACGATAATGGAATGACGGGCATCTTGACTTGCCAACGATATTGGATACTAATCAGCCAGGGTGCGCGCGACCGACGAACGAGCCGTCGCGACAAGCCGCTGCGCTTCTTCCTCGACGTCGGTCAATTCGTCGCGCCGATACGTTCCCGGTGCGTCTCTTCGGCCTGAGAGTGACGTGCCGCGCTGTTATCGCCAACCGCGTGCCGTTTGCATCACGTCCGCTCGCAAAATCAATGATCGCTACGAAGAAAGAGGAGTAAAAAATTGGCGATTCACGGCGACGAGATGATAAATCATTCGCGCCCCTCGTCATTTTGCTCGAATGGATGCTGCGACAATAGCCCGTTTGAGCTCCGTTGAAAAATCGATTTCCAATGGCGCGCGTCGACGCCGGGATTTTCGATCCGTAAACACACCGCCAGCGAAAGAACAGAACGAAAGGAAACAAGAAAGCAACAACGAAAATGAGAAAAAAAGGAAGCGATCGACGATTCTCTCGTTGCGGCGCGTACGTCTCTGGAAATAGAGACGGTCTTCCGAACGACCAGCACCAATTCACGCGCGGTCGATCGAACAAGCGATAAAATGCAGAAAACAAAGCGTATAGATCAGAGCAGCACGCACTCCAGAGCTGTCTCTGACGTTATGCGCGAGTTACGCCGCCGCGGCTGTTGTCGGAAGCACGTCCTACGCGATGTCAGAGGCCACGATCAGGATTCTCTCCGTCTCTCGTCGATCGATACAACGCACGGGCGCGACGGATTTTCTTATTTAATCGCTTAATTGGACGTTGACTCGTGGCTCCATAGAACGGCGGGCGTTCGCTCGTATCGAGGAAATTTCACGCGGCAAAATCCAGGGCTTCGATTCGTGCGTCCGCGTCGGTGTGCAACGACGCGATGCATACTTTCTCGCATCGGGCCGTCATACTGCGCGATCGCGAACTTTTATTGCCGGATTATATGTGTGTACACGTGGGGCCACCGCTAGTACAGCTGATTCATCGGTTGATAAGTCATAGCTAAGAACGGAATGGCGAAATCCGAGCACCAGCGCGAAAATCACCAGGACGTAGTCGTTGGAACAAGAAACTCGCCGCGCCCGAAGACTTAACCAAGCGAAGAAACAACGAGAACGATCGAACGTCGCCCGAGAGAATCGCTACAACAAGATTACCGAGGCGAAAGCATTAGAA